GTGTGTGTGTGTGTGTGCGTGTGTGTGTGTGTGTGCGTGTGTGTGTGTGTGTGCGTGTGTGTGTGTATCCCGAGTGCATTTTATCAGCGGATTTCAACTCGGGTAGCACAAAAGGTAGGAAGCTGAAATTTTAGGAGGATGTCTCTTGCCCGCGTATGGCCCAGCAAACTCAAACTCAGTTCCCCCGCACAGATAGATTTCATGTAGGGAAACATGAAATTTTCGGCGTCAGAATTAATTACTTAGGAACAAGGAGAGCTAGGAAGCTGAAATTTTAACAGAATGTCTCTTGCCCAAGTGTGATCCCGCTCACTCAAACCTAGTTTAACCGCATGCATGGATCTCACGTAGGGGCACGTTAAATTTTTGGGCGCCAAAATTAATAACTCGGAGACCATCAAAACTAGGATGCTGAAATTTCAGAATAATGCTCCTGTTCGTGTATAAATTCATCCACCAGGCACATTAAATCTCAGATATGGGCACGCGAAAGCTTTGGCGCCAAAATTAGTAATTCAAAATCTACAAAAGCATTATCCTAAAATGCTCTCTACCCGCGTATAGACTCATTCCCGCGCACGCCTAGGAATTTCATGTTCAGATAGACGAAAGTTTTGGTGCCAACGCTAATAAGTCTGGAATACAAAAGCTATCGATCTGACATTTTAGGAGGATGTTCCTTGTTCGCGTACGATCTCGCGATTTTAAAATTAACCCTCACACATGCCTCGGCCCCATGTACGAGCACGCGATATTTTGGGGAGAAAATTGTTACCTCAGGAACCGGGCTAAATTTTTAGGAGAATATCCTTTCGCGCGTATGACCCCCTAAATTCATATCCAGTCCTACGCATGTCTGGATCTCATTTAGGGACACGTGAAATTTTTGGCGCCAAAATTAATCGGGGAACCATCAAAGCTGGGAAGCTGAAATTTGAGAATAATTCTTTTACCATGGCTTAGATTTGGTCCCTGCGCGCCTAATTCTCCGGTATGGATGTGCGAAAATTTGAGGCCAAAATTAACATCTGACTTATCAAACAATAATTCAGCGGACACTTTTAACAGCAGGGTTCCTCTGAACACAGTTGCACGTGCATCAACTGGATAAAGTTGCAAAAGCGTCCGTCGGACAGAATTGCACAACCGTTCACCGGACAAAGTTGCACAAAACGCACTATCGCAGCAGCTACGCTGTTGCGCGCCGCTACTTATTTACTGTCTTTTTGGCTTATATGATGAAAGCCTGCGGCCCCGATGCTCCACTTGAGATGTTCCATAACTTATCAGGCACTATTTTCACCAGATTATGATAATTTATAATAACTAATCCAAGTAGCAGTAAAAATATGACAGCTAATCTAATGAACAACAGTAACAAAAAGTAACCAATGCAAAAAGTAGGAAAAAGATGCCTTAGGTTGGAATATTTCAGTCCATTTAGTCGCATACATTCCTAGTCATTACGACGGATGGACCTCGTCAGTATGACAGTTGTGGTAATTAATATGTTAAGTATAAGAATATTGTGATAAATCTAGGAGAATTTTTAGGAGTAAAAAATGTTGCTTTGGAGATGGCTATCGTTTCCTTCTTATCAAAGCCTGCATTCCTATTTCGCATTCACACAATTAGGGCCAAAGACGAGGATGCGAATTCGGCAAAGAGAAAACCAATCTCCCCGTACGATTCGCTAATTCGTTTCAATGATAAATTGATCAAGAGCGTGTCGGAAGTCAAAACAACCATCCGTTTGCTTGCAAACAGTCCTAAATAGATATTGTTACTAACACTGTTCTCATCAGGTCATTACTTCTAGCACATTCAGATTACTTCCGAATGTTTCTGCTTCATCTGGGCAGACAGTTGCGAAGAAAGTTTTAACTCTGACTTTCACAAATAGAACCGCCGATTCAGCAGAATAACAGTGCTGCCATAATATGCCTGGGTGTGCACAGTTCATCGTCATAACTTATATTTCTTTCTCGTGGTATGATCAGAGATAACATGTATGAAAAGAGCGCCAGGATGACATCATTTAATATGTACAAACAAAAAAGGACACCGGATATGGCGAAAAGCTTCAAGTGACCCTTCATTTTCATACATACTGCAAATCCTTTTCTTTTTGCTTAATACGTCTTATGACGGCCCGTAACAGCAACACTCAAAAATTTCCCGCATAATTTTCAAGAATCAAGATTTCTATAATTCTTACTTGTGTAAGACTTGCAGATTTCATGCACATTTATGATTTTTTTCGCGTCCCCATGGCGGGAAAATTTAACATGAAATATCATGATCTCAAAAAAGTATGAAAAAATCAGTTCCTAATTAGAAGTATTCTCAAAACAATGAGAGGAACTACAAAATCAGATTCTGTTTTGTAGTTCATTCATATATTGTTATATTCCGAATTTTTTTGCTAAATGTGTCTTATAACAGCATAAGACAATAAGGGAAAAGTAAACCCAAAACAACAGATAGCATCAAGAAAAAACTTCTACAGGTGCTCACCTCATTTGTCAAATTTCAGATATCGAAATGATGCTGCTTACTACACTCCAACGGCTAAAGCCTTGCCAACTGCTTCTATCGAGAGAGTAATTGGGCTCGTGTCCGCTTAAGAAGTGAAACGAACGTTAGGATCTATTCTAAAGTAACCATCGGACGATACAGCACTGGTCAGAGCAACTGGAAGTGTTGCAAGCTGCACAGCTGAAAAAAGACACTACGAACTGCAGTTGACCGAAGCATCAAAGAAGTGTTTCCTGATAAAGTAATAGGTTACTGCGGCAGTTCGATGAAGAAATACCATAAATCATACTTGAGAAGTATCTCTAAACCAGACAGCTGTGTTTTTCTCCTCACATTTATTGCATACCGCACCACAATTGAGAACTGTCTCTAATCAGTGTAGCTGTACTGCCCTAAACCTATTGTCTTCAGTGCTCTCTTATCCAGTATTATTAACTTTACCAAATGAGCGGGGAGGGGGGAGGGGGACGAATGATACTGGTGTTATTGGAATGCAGCCACATGTCAGGCATAATTGTTCTAGGTCATTCTCAGCTGTATATATCAGTTTTTTGAAGGTGGGGCCGAGAATAAATTTTTCTCCGGTCCATGAGCGGCATGATGAGTTCTCCGTAAGGAAATGTGATAAAAGGGGACAACAGAAGCACAGCAGCAGAAGTTGAAACAAATAAGAAAAATACACAAACTTTAGCACCGTGTGCACCGTATGAAACAAAGCAAAGCTTTCTGGTTACAAGAAGCAGAAATAACGATGACCAATATAATCGAAGAATCAGAGCTGCCCAATTTTCTGTAGCCTTCTTGCCATCACTGCTTCAAGTTCCGAGTGTAAAGCTTCAACACTGGCCTTCAAATTTGAACTTGTTATGAAAACAAAACAATTTTTTGGGATAAAAGACGAATTTTCCTACACCATCTGAATATAGCGCTTTTACTGTTTTCTCGACTTGGTAAGGAACTAAAAAGCCATTTTGTAAGAAAGAATGCAAAAAAGAATGAGTTAAAACCTAAAGCTATCCAAACAGAAACCTTTAGCTAAATGGGTTCGGAATTTTTAAGCTGATGGACGACAAATTTTATCAAAATAACGCCTGAGTAAAAGGAAATTTTTTGCTGAATGAAAGGGAATTATCAAATCAGTACGGAACTGGTAATTTGCATGAAAAGTCAACTTATGAACAAGAAACTTGGGAAAAAATACTTAAAAAAATCGTATTTAAACAAACCTAATAATAATGCAATATTTTAACTACGGTGTATTATCCTCTTTGAGAAAGGTACCACAAGCTACAGCAGTTAATTAAAAAAAAAGAAAATGAGCAAAATTAAAAGATTATCGACAAAATTAAAAGATTATTCTCCCTTCCCCACCTCTCCCAATTTCCTGGACATGAATCCTTGACTCACCGGACATGAATCCTTGACTCACCGCTACATTAGGAAGCCAGTATCATTATGCAGCCGAAACGAATAAGCAATTCATGAATTCACAAATAATAGATCAGCATACTTGCTACTTCAAAAAAGTAAATCTTTTACTAAAAGAGAGATTTTACGCAACAAAATTAGGATTAGAACTCACTGTTTGCAGTCTGGTTGTGTCCGAGCGTTTTGGTGGCGGTGGAGGTGGCACTTTTTTGGGAACAGGTGCCAGTGCTGCTTGTTGTAGCTGCTGTTGTTGATGAGGACGCCAGTAATCCGGTGTTGTTGTTGTTGTTGGTTGTAGTGGTGGTGGTGTCGCTGTACCGTTCTGCAAATATTGACATTATAGCTAGACCATCATGAGCTGGACATTACTACACCTGGCCAGAACTAATAACACGATATAAATTCGTTATCGAACAAATAACTATGGCCAACTTTTTACTTCGAATTAGAGAGACGATGCTGATCTACCCGATAGAAGTCTACCCGACAGAAGCATGTCGAAATCACCGATTACTTCTACTCCTGTGCTGAGCAGAAAATTTGCGGCTATTAATTTGATATCTTGATCAGCTGTTGTTTCTCGCCACTGGTGAAGCTGGCTGTTTCGCCATTCTTCTCAATTTTTGTTTCTCTCATCCACATAATCCCATGCGGCCGTTCACACAGATTCCCCATTTTTTTCACAGAAAAGGATGGAGTAGGAACGATGTATTATATATTGAAAATAAATTTGGTAATATACTTACTTTAACCTATGTAAATTTGAGACATGCAAAAGGTAAGATTCATTCAGACTGAGGCATATCAACACCAAATTGATATTACAATGCGTTTTTGGGCACTATGTAAATGCAAAAATGCATATTGGCAAGGGGTTGTGTGTTACGTGTGTGTGTTGCGTGTGTGTCTCAGTGCCTGTATGTTCACACTTTTTGTCACTCACTTTCAGCTCGAGAACCACAAAGCTAGAAGAAGGAACTTTGTGTATGCCCACCTCATGTGCGATGCTCCCGTTTTTATGCGTTTTTTGCCTATATGCAAATTGCAGAAACGCGTGCTATGGCGACCCTGTCTATGTGTGTATGTCTGTTTGCGTGTGTGTGTTCGTCTGTCCGAGTACTTCAACTCGGCAAACAGGCAAGCTCCAGCGCCAAAATTTTTCTAGTGGGTTCCCCGGCCAAGTGCCACCCCAGGACTGCGGCACCAACCCTCACGCAAGCCTGGGTCCCGCATATGAGAGGGTGATAGTTTTGGTGGGAAAATTGCTAACTCGGGAATGAGAAAAGCTAGAAGGCTGAAATCTTGAAGTTATGTTCCCCGCCCATGTACAACTCAAAAATTTCAAATTCAGCCCCCAGGTGTGCGTGGCTCCCGCGAAGGTTCCTGGCGCGGAAATCGCTAACTTGGGAACCAGGAAAGCCAGGAGGCTGAAATTTTAAGGAAATGTTCCCTGCCCACGCACAATTCAAATTTATCAATTTCAGCCACCAGGCATACGCGGTTCTCACTCACGGCTTCGTGCAAACTTTTGGCGGGAAGAATTGCTAACTTGAGAAAAAGGAAAGCTGGGAGGCTAAAATTTTCAGGGGATGTTCACAACCCATTTACAATTTACAGATTTCTAATTTAGCCGCCAGGTACACGTGGTTCTCGTGTTCGAGCATTTAAATTTTGACGAGAAAATTTCTCGTTGTACAGCTGGGTTTTTTCAAAAAAAAGATGCTAAACAGAAATTGTTTATTTTTGTTTATACAAAATTTACGATGATTTAGCGCACAAGGTTGGTGTGAAGAAACAATCATTCATGCAGTTAACCTCATTAGTTCATGTTTGGTGCAAAAACGCATTATCGCACCGACTCGCCCGGTGCGTTCCAGCCTGAGTAATATTATCATTCGCGTACGCTTGGGTCCCGCGTGTGGAAACCTCAAAAAACATGTAAATTTTTTAGAGGGAAAACGATGTAGCGGCCAGGTAAGACAGAGAGCTGAAACTCTGCAAGAATATTCTTTATGCCAAAGGTTTCAAATTCGGCTATTACGCACGTTTGCACTGCGTGTATGGCCACGCCAAAGTTTGCAGTTAGCAATGTACCAATTCGGAAACTCGCTAATCGTTGAAATTTTGTCAGAATATTTAATTTACATATTTTTTGAGGTTTCCACACATGCAACCCAAGCGTTGGGAAATCGTACACCTAAATAGAGTTTCGAATTGCGTACGACCACCCTTTAGGGAGCGTCAAAGATATTCGTAGCGAAGAGGTAATTTCGATTACCGGACAAACTGCAAAGTTGAAACTTTATGCGGATATTCTGTGCTCATATGTGGTCCTAACTGAGCTTGGAGGCGAAATTCCTTGCACTCAAGCACGACAAATACTCAGCTTTACCGCAAACTCAATGCGGCTCAATGATGCAAAAATATCATCCCAGTCAACTCCCTTTTACCTCCGTACGCAGGAAAAGGCCAAAACACAATCAACTCGAGTCGATATGTTAAACCACAACGCATAAATCACACCTGCTGTTGGCCAACTGATTGCTATAAGTTCAGCGCAAAAATTCAAAATCGCACCGGCAAGTCTGGTGCGTTGCAACTGGGGTTTTTTAATTCTTTTGATGTTTTGGGATTAAAACAATGCAGCCTTGCGAGTCATTGGTTACTGTTGACATTTTTTATTACCCCGCTACTTTCCAATTACTTTCATCTTGAGAGCAAAAACAGAGGGAGTTTTTGATGTTGACTCATATGAATTGGTTGAAAAATTGGAAATTTACCTCAGTGGCAAACATCTGACGATTTTGCAACGCAAAATGAACTTTTGACGGTGGTGCTGGTGCAGGAGTTGCTTTCAGTTGTGGTGCATAAATACCATTGGTATACGCTGATTTAGGTACATTTGCATATTGCGGAGGTTGCTGACTGGTACTTGGTTGCTGCTGGAATGTGGGTGAAAAGACGGCGCGTGGGGTTGGCGTTGCTGTTGGTGTGCTACTTTGACTGGAATACCTCTCTGAAAAGATATTTATACTTTTTGACTGTGAATACCGTTAGGCCCATTTTGATAATCTTGGCAACATTTTTTACCCCTGTATGAAGATGAGCCACAGACACTAATGCTGCACGCCGCGCGCCTATTGTTTTTGGTGCTGTCAGGACAGCACAAGCCGTCGTTGACGTTGTGCTAACCCTTGATGGGCGTTCTCGGCTCCCTTGGGTTAGCGTTATCTTATTAATGGTAATTGATAGGGTATCACTGACTCCAGAAGGGAGGGGCCGGTAATTGACAAAATTCTTTCCAAATAGAAAAACACGTGATCGATCGTTTTTGGGTACTCTTGGCATAACAATTAATCGTTTTCGGTATACTTTTCGTTCTTCTGGAAATAAAGAATTTGGTTGATTCTTTATTTCGTGTAATTGAAAAGTTTTCGTTTGGCGCTACAGACCCGGAGACCGCTCGGACAGTTAGTCATCACATTTACTTCAATATTTTGATTAGCTGCAATAAATTCGATTTTCCAGTGGTACAGCTGGCAACTTTTCTGGCTGCTTTCATCAATGTCACAGCGCTTTTTAATCAGTCTGCTGGCAATCTTAACATTTGTTCCAATTCGTGAAGGGATTATCGCCTCAGTCGGCCCCCACGCGGCTGAAACATTTGGCGAGGTTTCCGACATCACAGTGTCCTGTTTAAACAATTTATGAAAAACTGATCTTTGGAAAAAAGAGTGGAGAAAGCTGAAGACTCACCATCTCGATAATCATCGGCGACTTGCGAAAGGGTTGCAACCACAGTTGGTGGCGGTGGAGGGAATTGCTCTTCATCGCTGTCACTATCGGCGGTACCACCGCTCCGTCCAGACGGTGAAGCGATTCCATCGCTCGAACTGCGGCGATCGGTGATTGAGGAGTGTCGCCGACCATTTAGAAGCAAATCGCATGGAGCTCGTTTAATTGTACCCGTCATAGTTATATCGTCACACTAAAAGCAAGATGATTGTTGATGCTCAGAAAATTGTACGAAAATTAGCACTCGGTGCATCATCGATGGCTATCCGCAATTTCGCGGTGTTTAAGGTCAGGTCAGCAGCAGCGTTCACAATCTTCGTTCTTTTGGAAAGGAGGCTTGGGTAATCCTTTCGAACAGTAAATGAAATGCTATCCATAGTGGAAGTTTCGCAATTCCCAGGAAAATAGAAACTCGCAACTATCAGTGAAGAAAAAATTCAAGTTTCAACTATCCAAAAGAAAAAAGCTACTTATTTTACTACTGCAGTCAGGACGACATCGCCGATGTCCTTAAAATGCTGAACTAGTAGCACTGTTGCTGCTTCTTCATTGCTGTTATACTAAAGACATGTGGATGCAGTGGTCCAACATAACTGGAGTGTTTTGTTACGTCACTAACATAGAATACTCACACTTATGCGTTAGACTTACATGCTTATGCTTTTGGTAATTATTGACATTAGTTAGTAGCAGCAGATGGATTAGACCAAAACTGGCATATAAAAGAATGTAATACCCTTAATTCTTCATGGCTTGTTACAAAGATTCACAATTTGACGCCTATTCAGAGCCTCAAGCTACCAACAAAATTCATCAATGGGAAAAATTAATCCAGTTACGATCCGCTCAATGGTTTCAACAGTAAACTGGGTTTGGCATACCGAAATTCTCGAGAGTCAAAATATTTTCAGGAAAGTATAACTGACATCCGTACCGTCAGCAAAAACATCACTTAAATCATGCCTC